CTCCCGAGTAGCTGGGACTACAGACACCTGCCACCATGCCCGGCTAATTTTTTTTTTTTTTTTTTTTGTATTTTTAGTAGAGACGAGGTTTCATCATGTTAGCCAGGATGGAACTTTGTATTTTTAGTAGAGATGGCGTTTCACCATGTTGGCCAGGCTGGTCTCGAACTCTTGATCTCAGGTGATCCACCCACCTCGGCCTCCCAAAGTGCTGGGATTATAGGCATGAGCCATAATTTCCCCATACCCGGGGAAAAAAGTATATATATATATACTGAAATACTTCTGTAACCACTTGGTAAATACCACTTCCCCAGTCCCCTAAGTGATTCCCTCTTTTCCCTCAGGCGCCTGGTCCAGCAGCTTAGGACTTAATGTGCACCAGGAGTGAGTGTCCTCTAGAGAGCTGCAGAGCTATGGCCTGTGTTTGATTGGTCACTGCCTTTTGCCTTAGTGCATATCTTTTTTGTTTGTTTGTTTGTGTTGAGACAGTCTCACTCTGTTGCCTAGACTGGAGGGCAATGGCGTGATCTCGGCTCACTGCAACCTCTGCCTCCCAGGTTCAAGCGATATTCATGCCCCCCAGGTAGCTGTGGTTACAGGCACACACCACCATGCCTACCTAATTTTTGTATTTTTTTAGTAGAGACCAGGTTTCGCTGTGTTGACCAGGCTGGTCTCAAACTCCTGACCTCAAGTGATACACCTGCCTTGGCCTCCCAAAGTGCTGGGATGACAGGCGTCAGCCACCTGCATGTTTTATGTATATGAAACGTATATACAAAAATACAAATATGTATTTTCCCCTAACCATTAGACCACCAGGGAGCATGTTAGATATTTTGAATACCTGGTAAAATATATTTGTTTAGATCATACCTAATAAAGTTTGAAAAATGCTGGTGCAGGGGAAAGAGCTCTGGGTCCAGACACAGGACAGACACATGGATTCTAGCCAGGACTGTGCCTCCGTTAATGCTCACCTGCTGTGGGACAGTGCTCAACTCCCCAGTGCCCTAGTTTCGTCTAAAAAATGGGAATGCTTGGTCGGGCGCGGTGGCTCGCGCCTGTAATCCCAGCACTTTGGGAGGCTGAGGCAGGCAGATCACGAGGTCAGGAGATTGAGACCATCCTGGCTAACACAGTGAAACCCCATCTCTACTAAAAAATACAAAAAATTAGCCGGGCGAGGTGGTGGGCGCTTGTAGTCCCAACTACTCGGGAGGCTGAGACAGGAGAATGGCGTGAACCCGGGAGGTGGAGCTTGCAGTGAGCTGAGATCGAGCCACTGCACTCCAGCCTGGGCAACACAGTGAGACTCCATTTCAAAAAAAAAAAAAAAAAAGGAAATGCTCATTTCTGCCCTACTTCTTAGCTATATCATAAGGAGATAGTGTCTCTATCTCATGCTAGATACTGGGGAGGCAGCAGAGTATGATGGGATGGATGTGGGTTTGGGAACCTGCAAGTCCTGGATTCAATCCTAGATTTTGCCCCTACTAGCTGTGTGAGTTTGGACAAGTTGCTTTCCCACTCTGAGCCAGTACTCTCAATTATAAAATGGTGCTAATCATATTCCTACCTTATAAGGTTGCTGTGAGGATTAAATGAAATAAAAGAGATAAGGCACGTAGTGTGCTAGTACTAACTAGCACAATGGCAGTGAATTGTAGTTATATCACTGTTAACAGAAAAAACACAGGGCCTGGTGTGTGGTTGCAACTCGACACATGTTTGCTGAAATGAGAGGAAGACATTGTTAAAGGACCTTGAATTTAGATCTGTACTGTTCAGTAAGGTAGTCTGTAGCCACTTGTGGCTATATTACATTAATTAAAATTAAATAGGGCCGGGCACAGTGGTTCATGCCTGCAATCCCAGCACTTTGGGAGGCCAAGGCGGGTGGGTTGCCCAAGGTCAGGAGTTCGAGACCAGCCTGGCCAACATGGTGAAACCCCATCTCTATTAAAAATACACACACACAAATTAGCCAGGCTTGGTTGCGCACGCCTGTAATCCCAGCTACTCAGGAGGCTGAGGCAGGAGAATCGCTTGGACCCAGGAGGCAGAGGTTGCAGTAAGCAAGATTGAGTCACTGCATTCCTGACTGGGCAACAGAGCGAGATTCCATCTAAAAAAAAAAACAACAAAGTCAATAGAATGAACAGTTCTGTTCCTCAGTTGCATTAGTCACATTTCAGGTGCTCCATAGTCACATGTGGCTAGTGGCTACCATAGTGTGCAGTGCAGAGAGGCATTCCGTCATCATAGAAGGTTCTGTCGGACAGCACTCCAGAGGACAGGGGTGAAAATGGCAGTACCTGTGCAGACCACTGTGGGTGGTTGTCACTGTATTGAAGGGAATTCCTTGGAGTGGGCTCCTCCCCCTGGGGGGACACAATGTTCCCTACTGTCTAGGGTTTCATAACTCATAACTCAGGCCAAGTCAGGCAGAGTGTTTCTTGAGTGTTTAAAATAATGAAGTGGCCGGGCACAGCTGCTCACTTCTGTAATCCCAGCACTTTGGGAGGCTGAGGTAGGAGGATCACTTAAGTCCAGGATTTTGAGACCAGCCTGGGCAACGTAAGGAGACCTCATCTCTATGAAAAAAGGAAAAATAATCCCAGCACTTTGGGAGGCTGAGGTGGGCAGATCATGAGGTCAGGAGTTCGAGACCACCCTGGCCAACACAGTGAAACCCGTCTTTACTAAAAATACAAAAATTAGCTGGGCGTGGTGGCAGGCGCCTGTAATCCCAGCTACTCGGGAGGCTGAGGCAGGAGAATCGCTTGAACCTGGGAGGCGGAAGTTGCAGTGAGCTGAGATTGCACTGCCTTACTCAAGCCTGGGCGACAGAACTAGACTCTATCTCAAAAAAGAGAAAAAATAAAAATATTAGCCAGGCATAGTGGCGTACACCTCTAGTCCCAGCTACTCGGGAGGCCAAGGCGAGAGGATGGCTTGAGCTTGGGAGTTGGAGACTGCAGTGAGCTGATTGCGCCACTGTACTCCAGCCTGGGTGAGAAGACAACCCTGTCTCTAAAAAAACAGAAAATAATCATACTGTGGACCCAGATTGCCTAAGTCCAAATCCTGTCTCTCCAGTTTTTCAGCAAGCTACTTGGACTCTGTGCTTATTTCACTGATGAAATGGGGGTAATAGTACCTATCTCACAGGGTTGTTATGAGGAATACTATCGTATGTACAGTGCTTAGAACAGGGCATATTATCAGGTATGCCTTATTACTGTGATGTGTTGGTTAGATATACGCTGTCTCTTATACACATCTAGATGTGTATAAGAGACAGCTACCATAGTGTGCAGTGGAGAGAGGCATTCCGTCATCATAGAAGGTTCTGTCGGACAGCACTCCAGAGGACAGGGGTGAAAATGGCAGTACCTGTGCAGACCACTGTGGGTGGTTGTCACTGTATTGAAGGGAATTCCTTGGAGTGGGCTCCTCCCCCTGGGGGGACACAATGTTCCCTACTGTCTAGGGTTTCATAACTCATAACTCAGGCCAAGTCAGGCAGAGTGTTTCTTGAGTGTTTAAAATAATGAAGTGGCCGGGCACAGCTGCTCACTTCTGTAATCCCAGCACTTTGGGAGGCTGAGGTAGGAGGATCACTTAAGTCCAGGATTTTGAGACCAGCCTGGGCAACGTAAGGAGACCTCATCTCTATGAAAAAAGGAAAAATAATCCCAGCACTTTGGGAGGCTGAGGCGGGCAGATCATGAGGTCAGGAGTTCGAGACCACCCTGGCCAACACAGTGAAACCCGTCTTTACTAAAAATACAAAAATTAGCTGGGCGTGGTGGCAGGCGCCTGTAATCCCAGCTACTCGGGAGGCTGAGGCAGGAGAATCGCTTGAACCTGGGAGGCGGAAGTTGCAGTGAGCTGAGATTGCACTGCCTTACTCAAGCCTGGGCGACAGAACTAGACTCTATCTCAAAAAAGAGAAAAAATAAAAATATTAGCCAGGCATAGTGGCGTACACCTCTAGTCCCAGCTACTCGGGAGGCCAAGGCGAGAGGATGGCTTGAGCTTGGGAGTTGGAGACTGCAGTGAGCTGATTGCGCCACTGTACTCCAGCCTGGGTGAGAAGACAACCCTGTCTCTAAAAAAACAGAAAATAATCATACTGTGGACCCAGATTGCCTAAGTCCAAATCCTGTCTCTCCAGTTTTTCAGCAAGCTACTTGGACTCTGTGCTTATTTCACTGATGAAATGGGGGTAATAGTACCTATCTCACAGGGTTGTTATGAGGAATACTATCGTATGTACAGTGCTTAGAACAGGGCATATTATCGGGTATGCCTTATTACTGTGATGTGTTGGTTAGATATACGTGATCTTGACTTCAGTGTTGGTTATGAGGTAGGTTACTATCATTATCCACACTTTGCAGATGGGAAAATAGACTCAGAGAGATTACTAATTAGCACAAGACCACATGGCTCATAAGTGGCAAAGAAGGGATTCAAACACTGCACTATCTTGCCTGGCACGAGGGGAGGGGAGCTTTGGGGATATCTTCCCTGTGGAAGAATGAGGGGAGTCAGAAGAGGCAATGCAGATGTGACTTCCTCTCTTTCTGGGTCTCACCCCATCCCTCTCCCCTTTACTTTCAGGGACCCTAACCTCCAAAAGAGGTACCCAGTGGCGCTCAACCGAATTGCTGCTCAGGAGGTCCCCATTGAGATCAAGCCAATAAACCCATCCCCCCTGAGCCAGCTGCAGAGAATGGAGCCCAAACAGATGTTCTGGGTGCGAGCCCGGGGCTATATTGGTAAGATGACCCCAGGGATGGGAGGAAACCACTCTCCAAGGGGTGTACCACTCATTTGCTGTGTGACCTTGGGCACATGAGTTCCCTTCTCTGGGCCTGTTTCCTTATCTGCATGAGGGGGAAGTTGGCTTAGCTTCTCGCCTGGGGCCTCTCAGCCCTTTGCATGGGGAGAATGTGGAGGTGACTATAATCCCAACACAAGGCCTTTCTGAGGAAGGCAAGGCACCTCACTGGGGTTGTTGTCCAGCTTTGCTGCTAACCGTAAAGTGTCTTTGTGCAAATTGGAAGATGACACCCCTTTTGGGGCCTAGTGTGGGAGACTTGGGTGAATTTCAGTCCCTGCTCACCCCTGCCCTCCTCATATCACCATCTCACTTATCCCCCATCACACATACACACTGTAGGCCAAGTGCTCTTGTGCAGCAACCAGTCTGCACACCCATGCACGGGAGTCCCTTTTTCCCTACCTCCCTGCAGGTCCTGAGCTGGAAAGCCCAGGAGCCCAGGGCTGATGGGGACCTGTTGCAGGCGAGGGTGACATGAAGATGCACTGCTGCGTGGCCGCCTATATCTCCGACTATGCCTTCTTGGGCACTGCAGTGCTGCCTCACCAGTGGCAGCACAAGGTGCACTTCATGGTCTCATTGGACCATTCCATGTGGTTCCACGCCCCCTTCCGAGCTGACCACTGGATGCTCTATGAGTGCGAGAGCCCCTGGGCTGGTGAGTGTGGGGCCGTGTGGGACAAGGGCACCGACCTTGGGTGGCAGATGCTGACTTCCCCTGACTTCCTGTGTGGCACTGCACAGGTCACTTCCTTTCCTTCCCTCCTAGGCTTTCGCATCTTCATCTTCAAAATGAGAGGGTGAGGCTGGGACACCTGCTCTGCTCTAAATTGGGAATGTGATTCACCTTCTCCCAGGGACCCAGTTCTAGTCCCAGAACCAGTTCAGATTCCTCTGCTCTGGGAATGTGATTCACCTTCTCCCAGGGACTCAGTTCTAGTCCCAGAACCAGTTCAGATTCTTTTTATTACAATAGGCAAATCGTGTCTTCCGTCTGAGCCTATTTCCTCATCTAAACAAAGAGGGTTACATTACAGCAATGGTATCCAAACCCGGCAGCCCATCAGACTGCCATTTGGGGACGCCTTTTCAAAATAGATTCTGATTCCACCCTCAAGATTCTGACTCAGTAGGTCTTGGATAAGGTCCAGGAAACTGTATGTTTAAGTTCTCTAAGTGACTCTGATTAACCTGATTGGGGTTGGAGCATTCAGTGGTCCCTAAGGGCCTCACTGCTTGGACATTCCTTGCAGGGGAGAGAGAGAAACAAGACTCATTCATCAATGTCTAGCTTCAGAACCCTGACCTCCTTTCCAAGGGAGTACATTTCAAATGAAGAAAGGCTTTGCTCGATAAACCAAGGGAAAAACTTAAGGACTCGTTATACTCAGATAAGGGGTACTCTCACGTACCAATAGCATCCCAATCCAAGGTTGATAACCTTGAAGTGAGGACATGGGTTCAGATTTGGCCTCATGATGGAACCAAATTCCTGACCCTCTCTGGATTTCAGTCCTGTTCTGGAAAACTGGACAACACATAACTGCTTCCTTTGGCTACTGTGAGAACTGAGTGAGCTCTGCTATGTGTAAGGGAAACCAGCAATCATCCTCATAAACATCAAACTCAGGCCCAAAGCCAGCAAGGGAGCAAGAATCTCCAGGTGGGGAGGGAAGAGGCCAGACCTCATGGCTTTAATTCCTCTGCTGAGCCCCTTCTTCCCCTTGGTGGTGGTAGTGGGGATATTTTTCAGGAATCACCACTTGGAGGATCTGGCTTGATTTATTATACAGGGAGCCAATAGGTTTCCTAACACGAGTGGCCAGAGGTATAGCAGTTCTGCTGCCAAGCAGTTGAAGGAGACTATTCTGAGAGCTCCTCCCTCCGTGATCTTTTTGAGGAAGCGAGCAGAGGTGTGAAAGTGCTTTTAAACTATCAAGTGGGGTTCCTGTGGGAGGAGTTACCCCTCAATGATGGTCCATAATAAGCTCAAGAAGGGGCATTTGGAGCAGCCACGACACTCAGCACACCCTTGTGTGGGGCAGCCCTGCCCTGGGCCAGACCCTTTTCAAGAAGTCCACTTGGAGGTCGGGCGTGGTGCTGTGCTAAGCCTGTAATCCCAGCTGCTCAGGAGGCTGAGGTGGGAGGATCCCTTGAACCCAGGAACTTGAGACCAGCCTGGGCAACATAGACTCTGTTTCAGAAAAAAAGAAGTGCATTTGGCTGTTCTGAAGCAGGCCATCCTCACCTTTCACCTCACCCACAGGTGGCTCTCGGGGGCTGGTCCATGGGCGGCTGTGGCGTCAGGATGGAGTCCTAGCTGTGACCTGTGCCCAGGAGGGCGTGATCCGAGTGAAGCCCCAGGTCTCAGAGAGCAAGCTGTAGCCAGAGGTACCAGCTTGGCCTGGGGCTTCAAGAACCTCCCATCTATCCCCATTCCTGAGACAGCAGTTACAGTCCCTTTTGGCCCTCACATCCAATAAAGAGACTGATACCACTGGAGTGGCTGGCCTTTAATTCCCCTGGGCCAGACCTTGCCTTCATCCCTCAACTCCAGGACTCCAGGGCAGAGTCCCTGGCCTTCAGAGGAGGCCTCGCCAGCTTGGGGGCCCACCAACAAGGGAACATTGCCCCTGACCTGTGCCACAGCCCCTTGGCTGTCTATAAGCTGGAGAGGCTGTGTCAGACTTCTTCCCTGTACTATACCAGGGCAACCCCAGCCAAAGCTCATCCTGAGCCCAGCTCAACAGAAGTTTCCTTGATCTGCTTCACATTCTCTTTTGGAACTTCTAGGTGCTCCCAGCTATTCTGTCCTCATTGGGTCCTTCCCCTGCATTCTGGGGCAGCCTCTCTCCTCACAGTGGCCTTAAACCTAGGCAAGGGTTAGTCCAGCACCTCCTTGATGAGCAGTTCTTTGAGACTAGGGGGTGGCGTGGGGGTAAGGCCTGCCTCCTGCAGGGCTTGGAGCCGAGCCTCTGATTGACGTTTGTCTAGGCCCAGGCGCCAGGAGAGTCGAACATGGGCCTCCAGAAAGGGTGCCAGCAAAGGGTGGAGGCTCTTGTCCCCAAGCAGCTGCAGGGCCTTCTCACAGCATGCCCGGGCCTCCCCAGGGTCTTCCAGCTCCTGGTGGCACACGGCCAGCCCAGCCAGGGTCAGCAGGGGGCGGTCTGGGCCAGAGGGGGTGCCCAGCTGGGCTTGCAGCTGCCAGGCAGTGGCCCAGAGTGCCAGAGCCTCACGATAGAGGCCAGTACAGGTGAGGCTCTGTGCCCGCCGCAGCTCTGGCAGCACGAAGAAGTCCTGCAGGTCCGGGGCATGGCGCAGCTCAGGCACTGCCTGCAGGTGACCCAAGAACTGCTCAAAGGCCCGGCTACGGCGGGCAATGGTCTCTGCAGTAAAATTCCGGCGCAGCCGCTTACGGGGGAAGGAGATGGCAGCCATTGGACCCCGGAATTGCCGCTGCAGGTTTCGGTGCAGCCGCTCAAAGTCCGAGTAACGGCGAGAGATCTGGGCTGGCTGGCAATCTGGTGGCCCTGGGCCTATCACGGCGAGGGTGTAGAGCTGCAGGGAGGGTGGGTGTCAGGGCAAATGCAAGTTGTCCATGGGCCCGTTCCCTCCCCATCCCCCACACTCCCAGCTGTGCCTCCCCACCTCTTCCTTTCACCCCTGGAATAGCACCCAGGAGGGCGGGAGCTGCTGCCACAGTGGCGGGGAAGCCCAGTCCCATCTTACCTGAGGTTTGTCTGAAATGACCCAGGCCCAAGGCAGCAAGAAGAGAGAAAGACAGAGATGAGCTTCAGTGCCCGGGGCTGCTGCCCCTTTTTTTGTACTCCCTTCCCATAGAGCAGTTAGTTCTTCTGACAGCCCCCGCTGGAAAACCAGACAAGAGCTGAAACCCAGGCCAATCTCTTGGGTCTCCTTTAGGAACAGCACGGAGCTTGTTCCACTTTGGACACCTGGCCTCCACATCCCCGGTCAGGATTTTCCAAACTAGACCCAGAGGACAGGTCTGTAGATAGCCACAATTGCCATAACTGTGAAAAGTATACTGGCCTAGGACTCAAGTTCTAACCTAAGGTCAGCTACTCCCTCCCTGTGTGACCTCAGGCAAGGCCATCCCCTCTGGGTCCACTTCTGTTTCTAGTGAAGGAAGTGCTCGGTCAAGTCAGTGTTTGTCCAAAAATGAGACATGTACAAGTATTGGTACCTGAGGTTTTTAGGTGGTGTGCACTAGAGTAAATATCACTGCCTCAGAATCAGGAGGTGGTTCCCCTTTTAATTTTTTTTTTTTTTTTTTTTTTTC